CCCCCCCCTCCCCGCAGGCGGCAGGCTGGCCGGGTCTGGAGCAGCTGATGGCGGGCTGCAGGAGGAGCATGGCGTGGATGCTGGGGGGGCTGGACGGGCTCCCTGAGAGCGAGCGAGCCAAGTACCTCGACGTCACCGGTCAGTGCCACGTGGTGGGTGGGACAAATCCTGGTTCCTTGGCCCCAGCTTGGGTTGAACATGGGCGCAGAGCTCAGTGTCTGTGTACGTGGGGAGCAACAAGGGGCTCCTCTGCCGTGCAGAGCACGTGGCTGCCGGGGCCAGGGCAGGGGGTGACAGTCCCTGGCTGGACAAGGAGAGGGGGGTCGTTCTCTCGCTGTCATGTCTTTAATACTTGGGTTTCACCTGCGGCAGCATCGTGTGCGTTCAAGCTGGCCTACATCTTCTACAGCCAGAACCTCCACGAGGAGGCCAGCTCCGTCTGCCAGCTCTTCTGCAAGAGGCTGCAGACAGCAGATGCCTACGCGTGTCCAGAGATACCCCCAGAGAGGGTAAGCGCTTGCCTGATGCTTCTGGCGGAAACGGGGCTGAACTGAATGGATCCCGGGGCCGGGAGAGCAAAGGAGAGGACAGGACCAGCTTTTGCTCCTGGAACAGCCCCGGTTCCCTGCTCTGAGGTCTTCCCTTTGCCCAGCCGGGGCAGGGGGCTGTGGCAGGGGACATGGGAGGCAGGGGATTTGCTCCCCCAGGGCGCTGAAGCCGGTTCTCTGTGCTCTCCCTGCAGCTGGGGGGCGGGCCGCGCGGCGGGGCCGGGTCGGGGAGCTGCTGGCAGAGCCCGTCTCCCTCTGGGTCAGGGTCAAAACGGATGCTGCGAAGCAGGGAGCCGAGGAGTTACGGTTACGGTAAGACCTGGAAGGCTGCCCGGTGCGTGGGGGGTGGATGTCTTGAGAACTGCGGCTCCCAAGCTGGTAAAATGAGGCTGTTTCTCCCTGCGCGATGTGTCTGGCTCCACTGCGCTCTACGCAGAGCCCCCCCTGCAGCTCCCCTTTCCCCCAGGACCCTGAAGGAAGGCTTGGAGGGGCACAGCCTGGACACGGAGACCTTGGTGACCATCCTCTTTGCGGAGTTGAAGGCCTACAAGACGGTCCGAGCTGACACAGGGCAGGAACGCTACAACGTCCTATGTGACCTGCTGGAGATCTGCTCAGAGGAGAGCGGCCGCCTGCACCAGCGAGCTGTCTGCTCGACGGAGCTGGCCCAGGTCTTGTGCTACCACAGCTACGCCCAGCAGACGGACTGGTGAGTGGATGCCAGCGTGCCAGGATCACCTCCCTGTGTCCCTGAAAGTCTCCAAGGAGCATTTGAGGGCCTTTAGGGGGAGTTTTAAGGGTCTGGAGTGTGTTTGCTCTGGCTGCTTGTTCTGTTTGGGTCCTGGGGTGTATTGATTCTTCCCTTTAAAATGCTCCGGGGGCTTCAGGGGCAGAGGGCTGTTTCTAATCCCTCTCTCCAGCAGCTCCTCCCTGGACTCGGTCCGTGAAGCCTTGCGGCTGCTGGAGTTGGTGCCCAGGACGGCCCAGAACCGGGACCAGCTCCTCGATGACCGGGCGCAGGCTCTGCTCTGGCTCTACATCTGCACCCTGGAGTCCAGGCTGGAGAAGGGGGGTGGGGGTGGCGGAGCAGGGCTGTCGGGTGCTGAAACGGATCCAGATCTGAAAACACCACAGGGCTCTGTGCCTGTGTCGGGTGCCCTCCTCAGCCTTGCTGGCAATGCTCAGCTCTGCACCGGGGCCACCAAAAGCCGCCCAGACCTTGGTGGAAACCCTGTGGGGTCTCTTAACATGTGATACTGCTGCCTCCTCCCCCACTGCAGAGCATAGAGAGGGACCAGAGAGCCAAAGCTCAGGGGCTGAAGAACCTGGATGACTTTGAGCCAAACGACCTCAACTACGAAGGCAGGCTGCTGGAGGACAGGTTCCTGTACGACGGTATCTCCTTCAACCTGGCGACAGAAACTGGTGAGGGGAGAGTCTATGGGGGGCTTATAGGAACCCTGTGGGACCGGGGAGGGGCTGTGGAGGGTGTATGGGGCCTATGGAGGGGCTGTGGGACCTATGGGGACCGTATGGGACCAGGAAAGGACTGTGGAGGGGCTATGTGGGGCCTATGGAGAGGCTGTGGAGGGCGGGTGGGGGCTGGGGGGGGGCTG